GGACGGGGCTTTAAAGGTGACCTTGGCATCCTTCCAACTGAAGTGAGATGCGGATCAGTGGTGGAAGTACGAGAAGGGCCGTATTGGTGGTGCATGGGAGGCGTTTGTAGATGCTTTCCAGGAGAAGTTCTTATCTTCAGCCAGCTCAGTCTATGCAGGCCTCGAGGGCCAATCCGGGAGCTTTGTAATCCCAGTCTGTGTAGCAGTCTTTTGCTCCTAGAGGTGAGCAGGTGGATCAGGGGCCTACAAGGCGCGTGTATAATGTTACCGCGTAGGACCTAGTACCGGCTCCATCAGTTGTGAGAGGTACCTTTCTGTTTTGCAACTCGGTTGCTAGTGTGTTGATTGATACGGGCACATCTCATTCTTTTGTATCTGCTACATTTGCATCTGTTTTGGAGTTGGAGTTGGCACAATTAGCTTCTCCTATATGTGTTGTATCACCTATTGGGGGTGAGTTGATTTTGAAACATGGATGTAGAGGTTGTGATATAGAGGTCGCCGACCGTAGGCTTCCTTTTCCTTTTGTTGTTATACCCATGAAGGATTTTGATGTTATTTTGGGTATGGACTGGCTATCGTCATACCGGGCTGTTTTTGATTGCTACTGCCAGAGGGTCACAGTTTGTACCCCGAGCGGGGAGTGTTTCCATTTCTTGGGAGATCGGGTTGGTAGTGTGTTACCACCGATGTATGATCCGCGAGGGCGGAGTGAGCTTAGTGGTCTACTTGCTAACTTTATGAGTGGTGAGTGTGATGAGACCCAAATTGCGTTGCCGAGAGTGGTTTGTGAGTATTTGGATGTTTTTTCCGAGGATCTCGTTAGTTTGCTTCCTCACCGAGAGATAGAGTTCTTTATTGATTTAGTGCCCGGCACGGCACTGATTTCTATGGCACCTTATCGTTTTGCCCCAGCCGAGTTGAGTGAGTCGAAGATTCAGCTCCAAAAATTGCTAGATAAGGGTTTTGTTCGCCCCAGTGTCTCGCCGTGGGGAGCACCGGCCCTCTTTGCTAGATGGTGCCTTGTGACTTTGTATCGACTACCCGAAGTTGAATCGGGCTACGGTCAAGAATAAGTACCCTATGCCCCGTATTGATGATTTGTTTGACCAGTTGAAGGGTTCCTGTTGTTTCTCTAAGATAGACTTGAGATCGGGTTACCACCAGTTGAGGGTCAGGGAGGAGGATTTTCCAAAGACGGCATTCCGTACGCGGTATAGCCATTATGAGTTTCTGGTGATGCCATTCAGGCTTACCAATGCACCGGCAGTCTTTATGGACTTGATGAACTGGATCTTTCGGGAATTCCTAGATCGCTTTGTGGTCGTTTTCGTGGACGACATACTGATTTATTCGCCTTCTGAAGAAGAGCACGAGGAACACTTGAGAGTGGTGCTTGAATTGCTTAGAACCCATAGGCTGTATGCCAAGTTTGGGAAGTGTGAGTTATGGCTAGGGGAAGTCAAATTCTTAGGTCATGTGGTATCCGGGGAAGGGGTGTCTGTTGATACATCTAAGGTTGAGTCAGTGCAAGATTGGGCACAGCCTAAGAGTGTTTTTGAGATCCGCAGTTTTCTAGGATTAGTTGGGTATTACCGTCGGTTTGTGAAAGATTTCTCCAGGCTAGTTTCGCCGTTGACTAGATTGACGCGGAAAGGGGTCAAGTTTGTGTGGAGTGAGACTTGTGAAAAGTCGTTCCAAGAGTTGAAGGTTAGATTGACCACCGCTCTGGTCTTGATTATTCCGGAGAGAGGGTTGGGCTATGCAGTTTATTGTGATGCTTCACGAGAAGGTTTGGGTTATGTGTTGATGCAAGAGGGAAAGGTCGTAGCCTAGGTTCGCGGCAGTTGAAAATACACAAGAAGAATTATTCTACACATGACCTAGAGTTAGTAGCTGTGATCTTTGCCTTAAAAATTTGAAAGCACTACCTTTATGGTGAGAGATTCGAGGTGTTATCGGATCATAAGAGTCTGAAATATCTGTTTACACAGAAAAAGAGTTTGAAGTATCTGTTTACACAGAGAGACTTGAATTTGAGGCAGAGAAGATGGATGGAGTTCATTGAGGACTATGATTTTGAGTTGCACTATCACCCGGGAAAGGCCAATGTTGTGGCCGATGCCCTTAGTAGGAAATCCATTAGTGATGTAGCTTGTATAGCCATCCGGGAATGGGAAATGTTGGGTGCACTGGGCGAGTTTGATTTGCTTCTAGGCGAATCAGTTAAGGCTGCGGCCTTGTTTTCTGTAGTTGCGCAGGATACACTTATGACTCGAGTGTTAGAGGCGGAGAGAGGTGACCTTGAGGTAGAATCTCTCCGAGAGAAGATCTCTAGTGGGAAGGTTGAGAAAGGTTTGACGGTGTATCCCGACCTGAGTGTGAGATACCAAGACCGTTTGTTTGTGCCGGAGTCTTATCGAGAGGAAGTACTCTGAGAGTTTCATCATTTACGCCTTGCGGTGCATCTAGGAGGCACTAAGATGTATCGGGATTTGGGTTGCCAGTTCTGGTGGCGGGGAATGAAGAGAGATATGGCAGTTTTCGTGTCTAAATGCCTTGTCAGCAATTGAAGGCCGAGCATTAGAGGCCAGCGGTTTTGTTGCAACCCTTGCCTATTGTCGAGTAGAAGTGGGAGCATGTCACTATGGACTTCGTTGTAGGTCTTCCGAGGACTCAGCGGGGTAGTGATGCTATTGGGTGGTTGTAGACCGGTTGACTAAGTCGGCGCACTTCATTCCTATGCGCGTGAGAGATTCGGTAGATCATCTTGCCGATTTGTATGTTCGGGACATAGTGAGATTGCACGGGGTCTCAATGACGATTGTCTCAGATAGAGATCCTCGTTTTACTGCTAGGTTGTGGCAGAGTTTGCAGAGTGCCTTGGGTACTAAGTTGACCTTTAGTACGACCTATCATCCTCAGACTGACGGGCAGTCTGAGCGTACTATTCGGATCCTTGAGGATATGCTTCGAGGATGTGTCCTTGACTTTAGTGGGACGTGGGAGAGGCACTTGCCCTTGGTGGAGTTTGCCTACAACAACAGTTTTCAGTCAAGTATCGGTATGGCACCGTTTGAGGCCTTGTATGGCCGACCGTGTAGGTCTCCAGTTTGTTGGGCCGAGGTGGGTGATGTACCTTTGTTGGGCCCGGAGTTGGTTAGAGAGACGACGGAGAAGGTTGAGCTTATTCGTAGGAGGCTTGTTACAACCCAGAGTCGCCAAAAGAGTTATGCCGACCGTAGGAGGAGGCCTTTGGCGTTTGAGGTAGGTGATCATGTTTTCTTAAAAATATTGTCGAGGCAAGGTTTGATGAGGTTTGGGAAGAGTGGGAAGTTATCCCCTCAGTTTATCAGTCCCTTTGAGATCCTTGAGAGGATTGGGGAGGTTGCTTATTGTTTGGCTTTGCCACCACAGTTGTCCGGGGTACATGACGTATTTCATGTTAGTATGCTTCGGAAGTATGAGCCGGATCCGTCCCATGTGTTAGATTGGACCGACTTAGAGGTAGATGAGGATGCCTCGTATGAGGAGAGACCGGTTCGGGTCTTGGATAGGCGGGAGCAAGTCTTGCGAGGCAAGACCATTCCCTTGGTAAAGGTTTTGTGGAAGCATCACGGAGTGAAGGAAGCCACTTGGGAACGTGAGTTGGAAGTCCGCGAAAAATATCCGGACGTGTTTATTGATGTGTAATCATATTTTGTGATTCTGTAATATTGTTGAACTTTAAGAGCATTGAATATGTCTTAAGTTGTGGAACATTGTATATGTTGTGATTAATGGAAGTTTATTTTGACATTGTGTATGTTAAGTATATCGTGGAAATGCAAGCATGATATTAATGTTGCATATGTTAAGGAATTGTGGAAAATGTGTTGAAATTGGTAAATTTCAAAGAATGCATGTTGATAATGCAGGTTGTTGTGTATAATGTGAAATGCCTCTTGAAAAGAGATGGGATTGACCAGTAATGTGTCGGATTGTTTAATATTATGTTGTAATGTTGTGGGGAAATAGAGAAAACTTGTTTTTGAAAACTTGTATTTAATTTCGGGGACGAAATTCTTTAGGGGGGGGGAGGTTATAGCGATCCCGGTTTCCCTTTCTTTTATTGTTGTATTCGGACTTAGGTTCTGTGGAGTTCGTTGTTGTGTATATCTGGTTTACATCCTTACTCTTTGTATTTGAGTCTTGTGTTGTGTTAGGCAGGTTTGAAACAAGTTGGTTGAGCTTAGAAACCAAAAGTAGTTGCCCAGAAATTTGCCTTCACGCTCGAGCGGAGTTTTTGACACTCGAGCGGGCCTTTGTTGTGCTTATCCGCTTGAGCGGGGGTTTGGGAGCTCGAGCGGGAAAATCCATCTCCCAGTATTTCCTCTGCAATGTTGTACGCTCGAGCGGGAGTTTGTGTGTGACGCTCGAGCGGGGAGTTTGACGCTCGAGCGGGGACCTGGTTCTGCAAAAGTTTCTAGGAGTGTGTATCCGAAGCTCGAGCGGTGGTTTGGACGCTCGAGCAGAAGTCTGTGAGTGACGCTCGAGCAGAAGTCTGTGAGTGACGCTCGAGCGGGGTTTTCCACGCTCGAGCGGGGCGACTCTTATATAAAAACGAGATCCGACTTTTTGGATCACTTTTTCAACTCAATTTCTCTCTCTCACTATTCCAAACCGCCATTAGAGACCTTCTCTCTCTAAAACCTTGCCTTCTCTCTAGGTATTGATCTAGTAGGAGTTGTTTCCTCACCTTTGGCCTTTACAAAAAAGTTGTTGATCGTTGAGGGCTATCTTTTGATCCGATAAATTTGTGATTTGGAGCATCTTCATTTTCATCATCTTCTTCCCTTGGGCTCCGAATTTGAGGTAGGGATTCTTACTCACTCTTATAGGTTTTGACCTAGATTATTGGGCATTTTGTTAAATGGAATGATTTTGGGACTTAGGGTTTCAAAAAGTATGAATGAGGGTTTTGTCATTTTGATTCTTAAATATGTATTTTGGGTTTCAAAATGGTGTTATTGTTGTTGATTGTTGATATTGGAACCATTGAGTTAATATTGAGAAATGAGGAAGTAAGCCCTAATTTGTATACAAATTAATTGGCATAATTAATTTGGGAAAGTTATGGATTTATGAAATTGAGTTGAATATAATGAAATTGGTTCATTATGAGATGGATTAGTGAAGTTGGATTTGTTAATCGCTCACTTTTGGAAATATGGATATTTTATCTGTTGATGCTTTTATTATCTGTTTAGAAATAATTGCTTTGGGCTACCGGTGGAGGGTAGTTTTGATTGTTGTAGACAATGCATGATGATTAGGCAAACTAAAACTAATCAATTGGATATGTCATAGAGTATGACGGTTGACATAATACATTAACGTTATGTATCGATTGATCGTGTATATGACCTATGTGTATATACGTTGTGTGTGTGGGAGGAGATAAGGGATGTACTCCACGGTTTATGGGAAGATAGGGGATGGACCTCTAAACCGGATGTTGTTTGGGAGGAGATAGGGGATGGACTCTGCTGATACAGCTCATATGCTTGTCAGTTAATGTGTTGATACAGCTCATATGCTTATCTATGGAAGTGTTGATATAGCTTATATGCTTATCTGTTGAAGTGTGGATACAACTTGTATGCTTATCTGTTGAGATGTTGATATAGCTTATATGCTCATCTATCGAAGTGTTGATATAGCTAGTATGCTTATCTATTGTGAAATGAGAAATGTTTAATATGAGTCATTGTCTCATGTAAATTGTTGGCTAGGTTCTGAGCCGTTGTTGTGAATTGTGAACTTGATAAGAAATGGAAAATGGAATGAAACATGGACATAGTGGTCATGTAATGGAAATGGGTTATGAATTGATTTATGGGAATTAAACATTTATCAATTGCTAATGTCTTAGTTGCTGCTCATATTGTGTTTAGCATATCTCTACTGGGCGTTGGCTTACCCTATATGGGACATTATTTTCAGGTACAGGTAGCATGCCACCTCCAAGGATATAGCTTGGATGGTTATGGGAGTTGAAGACTCTTTTTGATTATTTTGTTTGTGTTACATGTATATCAAGCCAATGGCTTATTTTGTATAGAGTTAGTACTCTTCTTTTGTGTAACCAAGTGTTGACTTGAAAAGCTGTAAGCCCTTAACATGTAATACTGTTGTAACAATTACTCTGATGAATGGAAAGGTGTTGATTTTCTTATATCACTGCATGTCTGAATTATGGGTATTATGTATTATTTTGAGGGCGTTACAGATAGACATCACCATTATATTGAATTTTTTGTAGATAATAATATGACTTATCATAGTCTTTTTATTTTCAATCAAAATAACCACTATTGTTCTTGTAATTTTAAAAATGTCATTGACATTTCACTTTAAATAATATTTTTATAAAATTTTTTATTAAAAATATTTTCTTTATATTTTTTTAAAAAATGAGCAGTGTTTGGTTTGAAGCTGTGCTGTGTGTTAGTATTAACCAAAAAAAAAAAAGTTGAAATGTCAGGGGGGCACATGAGCTGCACATATGTGGATGCAATCCTAAATGATGATACAACAAACTAATTACAAGGTTGAAATGAATCGTGATAATCCCAGATATATGGAAGCCATCTTGAATTATGCTCAAAAGAACTAATTACGATATTGGAATAAACCACCCTAGTTATGAAGATTTGTGGTGCTTGTTGTGAATCGTATTGGCATTTAGTTATGAGATTTTGTATGTAGATGTATATGGTCATAGTTATGAATCATGTTGATGCTTAGTTACGAGATTATGTAGTAGCCAAATTTTAGGGTGGGGATGGTTCTCAATTTTTTTTTTGTTGCTGTAAGTGTTTTGGTTTTTTTTTTTTTCTTTTTCTCTTGGCAGTTGGCTTCTGGCCAATTGTTCCATTCTCCCTATTTTAATGTTTTATTAACATTAATAAAATATTACTTTGTTTGCCGATCAAATTTTTTTTATTTTTTTTTTCACTACAAGAAAATGCACCTACGGTGACCAAATTGGCGACTAAAAAAATTTTTGGTCGCTGAAAGTATAGGTTTTGGCACTAAAGCAACATTAGTAGCCAAAAGTAAAACTTTTTGGCGACTAAAAAAATTTAGTAGCCAAAAGTATAGGTTTTGGCGACTAAAAATCAATTTAGTCGCCAATTATCGACTTTTGGCTACTAAAAATATTTAGTCACCGAATGGAAAATAAAAAAATGATTTTTTCTCTTTGGCGACTAAACTTTGGTCGCCAAAAATGTACTTTCAGCGACAAAAAAAAATTTTAGTCGCCGAATATTGACTTTTCGCTATTAAAATATTTTGTAGCCGAATGGAAAATAAAAAAATAATTTTTCTCTTTGGCGACCAAACTTTTAGTCCCCAAAAACGTACTTTCAGCGACAAAAAGAAAGTTTAGTCGCCAAAACTAAAATATTTGGAGGGATTAATTTCAAAATTTGGAGAGATTTTATAAAACTAATCGGCGACTAATTGACATTTAGTCGCTAATGGTCTTTTGGCTAAATTACACTTTTGGCTACAAAAAAATTTAGTCGGTTTTGATTATTAAGTTTAGTCGCTAAAGGTAGAAACAATTTTTTGTTTTAGAGGGAACTGAATATTGGCGCTCGCGCCCCTCTTTCACACAAACACAAGATCTCTGTTCTCTCTCTCACACACACGCAGCTCTCTCACATACAGAACAGTCACCACCAAACTTCACCCCCGGCTCACCACCCACCGCCGCATGTCGCACCGCCACCGCCGCAAATCACCACCGACACTGCCGTAAATCACAGATTTTTCTCTCGCTTTCTGTCACTCTCGGTCTCTCTCTCTCTCTCTCTCTCTCTCTCTCTATTTTCTCATTTCTCACACTTGCTAGGGTTTTATATGATTTTTTTAGTATAATTTTGTGTTGATTTCTTAAATGGGTTTGGTTGAAGTGGTTTGATTTCTATAAAATTATGGGTTTGATCACCAAAATAGGTTCAAATTAGGGTTTATGGGTTTGATGGAGAAAACAATTTGATGTCGAAAATCAAAATCAAAAATTTGATGTCTTTAATATATAACACTCTGTAAACCAATGAAACTGCCAAACAAATTCTAAGCTTATGTTAGGTATTATTGTATAGTACCCATGAACTATCTCTATGGATTACCATCTTATGATGATTGACTTGCACAGATTTAGGTATTTCATTGGAGAGAATTGGTATTCTCTGGAGAATTGGCATTATTTTGTGTCTAGAGCTTTGTCAATTTATTTTTGTTTCTTGATCACAATGTAAGATTATAATTGTCCCCAATTGTCCTTCCTATATATCTGCCCCAAATAAATAAATATATATCGCAATCAAAAAGGAAAAAAAGGATACAGGGTTCTTTAGTTCCCACAATTTTTTACATGTTATGATTCTGTGTGTTTCAATTATCTAGTAAAGCCCATTTTATCTAATTTGACTTCTCACTATAACTGTACTCTTGAAAATGATTTGTGTACTTCAAAATATTCTACCAAATAGGTATCTCCCCAATATTTTACTGGAGAATTCTACTCTCAGTTGTGATTATTTACCAATATTAGTACCTTTCTTCTTTTATTTTTATTTTTTTACATTTTCATTTTTTACAATTGTTGCAGTCTCTCTAATGCCAACCCTCCACAATACCACTGACTTTGTTAAAAAATTAGAATTGATGCTAAAAGAAAGTTGAGGTGTTGCATGCAGTGGTTAATACAGTTGAACCTATTTCCTTTGATGATTAACTTTTCTTTTCATTGGAATTTTCAGGATCTAGTTATTCGTCCATTGGTCGAGCAAGATTCTCAATCCTTGCAACGGTTGCTTCCAGTGATACCAATTTGGGTGAAAAATCCAGACATTGACCGTGTAAGCTGTTACTCCCAATAATTTTTTTTCCTTCTAATCCATAATTTTTCCAACTACATATTTGAAATAAGAATATTCTTAAAAATTATGTATATACCTCCTTGCTGTGCATATTTACCTCCTTGCTGTGCATATTTATATGAGATTCTTGTGGTTCTATTTTTGCATAGGTTGATTGGCTTAACAAATTTATTGAAACAATGTGGCCTTATTTGGACAAGGTATGTTTAGTTGGACGTGTTGTAGAATCTTTTAAAGTAGCAGAGTTGTGTATTGTGAAGAAAAAACCAGAAGATATCTTTCTTATTGAATATCTGAATTAATCAACATTATACAGAGGAGTAGTATTTATACAAGATTGATACACTTAACCTAACCATAACCGTCTAACTAAACTATAGTTAAATTCTAACAAACTAACTACCTAGCCTTGATAATACACACGTGACTGTTGGAGCTTTTGCTTTGAAGCTGCTGGCTGCTGTTCTGCTCTGCTATGGCTGAGATGCTGCTGCTCTGCTACTGTAGCTGTGGCTGAGCTGCTGCTGCTGTTGTGAGCTTGAGCAGCTGCTGCTGGAGCTGCTTGAGTTGCTATCTTATCATATTGATGGTTTAAGGTCCTTAGGCTATCCCAGATGAGTCTGCAAAAAATATAGCAGAGCCCATCATTGCTAGGCAAATTCCAAAATACAAAATTCAGTCACTTGGATTTGAAACGCTTACCTTGGGCTACCTTGTGCTACTTTTTTCCAATAAACACAAATATGATACTATACGAATATGGAGATATAACAAAAAATTAATTAGATTGTAAATCATGCAGGTTTTTAACTTGTATTTAATATATTTTGACTTTAGCTATTGGCAAAAGCTAAAATGTCCTTTAAAATCCAGGAAAGCTTATGTGCAGATGCTGCGTCTTTTGACTTGCCTTCATGGATTCTTTCAGCTTGCATTTCCGAACCAAAAAATTGTGTAGACCTTTCTATTGCAAGGACGGATAATTCAAATGACAAATTATGTAATCCAGATAATTTTGCAATTCTCGGAGGTAAATTAAATTGGTTGAATGAATCAATTATATAGATGTTTCCATTCCTTATCACTACTTTCATAATGTGCAGAATTTCTTCCTCGTGGAGAGCATTTTCATTATTTTGATTAGTATTTGCTTCTTTGTAAAAGGCTAGGCTATTCACCAAATAAAGAAAACCAAGAAAAGGTCTTGGAGGTAAGAGCCTGATAAATTAATGAAATCTCAGTAGGGTGGGCCCAACTTGGACATCCTTCAGTGTCAGTTGTGTATTAAGTTTATATCTCATACTTAAAATAGAAAATTGACTTATTTTGTTTTCCTTGGCCTATGCAATATTCTTTTAAATCCGATTTAATCATTGCCCAAAATTCATCTTTGTTCTTGCTAAACTGATATGTTGAATTTAAGATCTTTGACTCTTTAGTGCTGAGCTGATCACATTTCTTTTATTTCAGGGTTTCTCTTGCATTTTGGTTTTATTGCTCCATTGTCATATAAAATATTGGTTCTATACCCTTATTTAGTAACTCTTCCTTGAGTGATCTGAAAGTAAGTTTTAGTAATTTTCTTTTTTCTCTAGTTATCATTGCATATGATTCATTTTCTCTAGTTATCATCTGCTTGAGGTATAGGCTTTCTTCTAATTCTTCTTTCTTTTTATCACATTTTTTATTTTAGAATCCTTTATTGGCCCTTTCATGTGTTTAGGAGGAAACATATTCTTATGTTGTTAAACATATTTGAACTTTTTAGTTGTATCTATATGGAGCCGTGTTTGTTTTCAAGTATACTACCGTATGATATAATTGGCTTTTGCATAGAGAGGGAAAAAGGAAAAGAAAATCATATGAGCAACCACAACAACTATCCTTTACCAAAGTTGAAACTGGCATGTGCAAGATAGCATGCTGAACTAGACACTAAAGGCAGTGCAAGCCGTCACTTTTATTGCTCAAAAGCTTTTATGTCTGCCTTGGCAGAGAACAGTTATTTGATTGTTATTTTTTATTTATTTTCAAAAAGCATGAAAGTATTGTTCTAAGTTGTGATTACTGTTCATATTCTGTGTAGTTCATGTAGAAAGTTTAGTTTGACAACCTAAGGTAAACTTTACGGGCCAGAGGCAAAGAAACAGAGTCAAAACTTGAACACCTTGAGCCTGCAAGAACAAAAATGACCCTTTTTATGAAGTTGATCAATTGTGATCTAGCCAAGCTTGCTTTATCACAAAACCTAAAAGACTAACAGCTGCTTTCATCTTCTTGCTGTAGAACACTGAGCAGAAGTTGTTAAAACTTTGCACAATCTGCATTTGACTTTTATGTAATTTCCCTCGCTCTCTCTCTCTCCCCCTCTCCCTTCTGTTCATCTTTGAGTAGAATGGTTCATCTAGTACGTGTAAGCTCTACTTGACTAATCCTCAGTAACATTAGTCATGTGATAAGAAAAAAATATTTTAGCTACAATTTGGTATGACTGGTTACATAATCTCATAATGCAACTTCCTTCATACATATTGATATTTGTATGAGGTTGTCATGCACAACTTCTTCATATTTTCCTGAAGTACTAATTCTGATGAATTGTATTCTCTGCTGTTCTTGGAAATTATGTAAATTGGTTGTAAGAAAAGTACAATGCAACAATAATGACTAACAACAATCCATATTTTTTGCATCCCAAAGTTCTAAATTTCTGGTAATGTTCTGTTATTCTAAATTAGGTATATAATGTTCTTAATGAAAACAAAAATGATATTAATGAAAACAGAGAAGTTTCTTAATGACCACACTTGAAATGAAAAATAATAGGAATCCACCGGTCTAACCACAGAAACCAATTTGATCAAACAGGATCGTATTGGATCCAAATCCGCCGGATGATTTGACTCTTATGTTTTCATTGGAAGTTGAGCCTATTGCTACGTCTAAGCAGAACAGGGCGCACTATAAGATAGAAATTTGCATTAAACAAAAATTAGCATGTCAAATATAACAAATTACTTTATTATAGGGCTTCATCATTTGTTCTTAATTCATAGAGATTGGAGTATGTGATTTAATTTTGCTGTTTAATGTTTTCCTAAATTAAAAATAACTTGGAGTATGTGAGTTTAACTAATGATGAAGTTTTGCTGAGTTTAACTAAATAGCCTGTGTGGTCAAAATTACTTTGTCTGGTAAGGATTGGGTGTGTGCAATGCAAGTTGGGCAGATAAAATGAGCCATGGAAGCAACCAGCAGTGTGGAAAATTATGAAAACAAAAATGAGTGTAAGAATGATGTGGCAATGTTGATATGTGAGCACTGATACTAATTATATACACAAAAATTGAAAATAGCCCCCGAACCTCCGTGTGGCCGAAACAAACAGTTTCCCCATGCCAAATATGACTTGTGACAACTGACGGAATGTTATTCGGACCTATAGGTTGGGATTTAGAGGCGAATACGCCCAAAACTTAGTCGAAAAATGGCGTTTCAGGGGCGAAAATTCAAAACAGCCCCCGGACCTCCATTTGGCCGACACGGGCAGCTTTCATATGCCAAATATGACTTGTGACAAATGACGGAATGTTATTCGGACCTATAGGTTGGGATTTAGAGCCGAATACGCCAAAACTTAGTCGAAAAAGGGCATTTTGGGGGCGAAAATTCAAAACAGACCCCAAACCTCCGTTTTGCCGACACGGGCAGCTTCCTTATGCCAAATATGACTTGTGACAACTGACGGAATGTTATTCGAACCTATAGGTTGGGATTTAGAGGCGAATACGCCCAAAACTTAGTCAAAAAATGGCATTTCAGGGGCGAAAATTCAAAACAGCCGCCGGACCTCCATTTGGCCGACACGGGCAGCTTTCATATGCCAAATATGACTTGTGACAACTGACGGAATGTTATTCGGACCTATAGGTTGCGATTTAGAGGCGAATACGCCCAAAACTTAGTTAAAAAATGGCGTTTCGGGGGCGAAAATTAAAAACAGCCCCCGGACCTCCATTTGGCCGATACGGGCAGCTTTCAAATACCAAATATGACTTGTGACAACTGACGGAATGTTATTCGGACCTATAGGTTGAGATTTAGAGCCGAATACGCCCAAAACTTAGTCGAAAAATGGCGTTTCAAGGGCGAAAATTAAAAACAGCCCCCGGACCTCCATTTGGCTAACACGGGCAGCTTTCATATGCTAAATATGACTTGTGACAAATGACGGAATGTTATTCGGACCTATAGGTTGAGATTTAGAGCCGAATACGCCCAAAACTTAGTCGAAAAAGGGCGTTTCGAGGGCAAAAATTCAAAACAGCCCCCGGATCTCCATTTGGCCGACACGGGCAGCTTTCATTTGCCAAATATCACCTATGACAACTGACGGAATGTTATTCGGACCTATAGGTTGGGATTTAGAGCGGAATACGCCCAATACTTAGTCGAAAAAGGGCGTTTCGGGGGCGAAAATTCAAAACAGCCCCCGGACCTCCATTTGGCTGACGCGGGCAGCTTTCAAATGCCAAATATGACTTGTGACAACTAATGAAATGTTATTCGGACTTATAGGTTGGGATTTAGAGCAGAATACGCTCAAAACTTAGTCGAAAAAGGGCGTTTCGGGGGCGAAAATTCGAAGCAGCCCCCGAACCTCCGCTTTGCCGACACGGGCAGCTTCCTTATGCCAAATATGACTTGTGACAACTGACGAAATGTTATTCGGACCTATAGGTTGGGATTTAGAGGCGAATACGCCCAAAACTTAGTCAAAAAATGGCGTTTCAGGGGCGAAAATTCAAAACAGCCGCCGGACCTCCATTTGGCCGACACGGGCAGCTTTCATATGCCAAATATGACTTGTGACAACTGACGGAATGTTATTCGGACCTATAGGTTGGGATTTAGAGCCGAATACGTCCAAAACTTAGTCGAAAAATGGCGTTTCGGGGGCAAAAATTCAAAACAGCCCCCGGACCTTCATTTGGCTGACACGGGCAGCTTTCAAATGCCAAATATGACTTGTGACAACTGACGGAATGTTATTCGGACCTATAGATTGGGATTTAGAGCCGAATACGCCCAAAACTTAGTCCAAAAAGGGCGTTTCGGGGCGAAAATTCAAAACAGCCCCCGGACCTCCATTTGGCCGACACAGGCAGCTTTCAAATGCCAAATATGACTTGTGACAACTGACGGAATGTTATTCAGACCTATAGGTTGGGATTTAGAGCCGAATACGCCCAAAACTTAGTCGAAAAAGGGCGTCTCGGGGGCGAAAATTGAAAATAGCCCCCGGACCTCCATTTGGCCGACACGGGCAGCTTTCATATGCCAAATATGACTTGTGACAACTGACGGAATGTTATTCGGACCTATAGGTTGGGATTTAGAGCCGAATACGCCCAAAACTTAGTCGAAAAAGGGCGTTTCGGGGGCGAATATTCGAAACAGCCTCCGAACCTTAGTTTGGCCGACACAGGCAGCTTCACCATGCCAAATAGGACTTGTGACAACTGACGGAATGTTATTTGGACCCGTAGGTTGGGATTTAGAGACGAATACGCCCAAAACTTAGTCGAAAAAGGGCGTTTCGGGGGCGAAACTTCAAAACATCCCCCAAACCTCCGTCTGACTCTCACGGGTAGCTTTCCCATTACAAATAGGACTTGTGACAACTGACGGAATGTTTTAAACTTGCTAATTTTGTGAACGTACACACGTGTGTTATTATTTTTATCACATGTTCTACTATCCTCTCTGAAATGGCACTGACATACATTAATAAGCACCGATGGTTTTATATCCTATCTAATGATTCAAGTGCCTTTTGCAAATAAATAATGAGGAAGTTGGTAAAAAGAATACTTTCTATTCACATTGGGATTTGATATTGGTTTAGCCACAGAATTTCGATACATGTTGCATACAAACAGAAGATTGTTACATTAGCTGTATGTTACTAATGAAAGATTTAGTAATGATTGTTCTGCATTTAACCATGTTCCTTAAAAAAAAGGACTTTAGAAAGACTGTACAATGACCGATAATTGATTCATCATGGAAGGTTGGTTCTCACTTATTTTTATTTGTCACTTGTTCCCAAATTCATTCATGAAGTTGGGCATTTTTGGGTCCAATTCTAATGTTTTTTTTTGTTTTTTGTAGATGACTTCGTTGCGTGGACTTGCAGAGATATTTTGGTATATGGAGAAGAAATTGTACTATGGTATAGAAGTAACATAATACTTTTGTCGTCTCCAGCTTTTATGCAGTAATTATTGGCATGGTAGATAGATCACCTTTTGACGCCGTCCACTAAATTTATTTTTTGCCGTGGTACATAGATGTATTTTTGGCTTGGTACATACATCACCTTTTGTCGTGGTACAGATTACTATGGTAATTTGTACCATGCCAAATGGTCATTTCACATGGTACGATAAATGTAATTTTTGTATATGGAGGGCTTTACTTTTTGTATGATTGTATATGTTGTATGGAATTATTATTTTAGCTTGGACAATAGTTCGTTTGTATGTACTTGGACAGTTATAGTAATTTATTTTTTGTATACGGATGCAGATTGTGGAATGACTAATAATTTATGTATCATTTTATTTATATACGTATTACAGGTTGAATGGAATACAGACAGGTTATGGACACATTATAATATTAGCAATAAAACATAATATCATGTTTTTGTCGACTAAACGTTTTGTAGCCAATGAAAAGGGGAAAAAAAAAAAAAACATTTGGCTACTAAAAGTTTTGTAGCTAAAAGAAAATCAATCATTTGGCTACTAAATTTTTTGTAGGCAAAACAAACAACCATTTGGCTACTAAATGTTTTGTAGCCAAAAGAAAATCAAACCTTTGGCTACTAAAAGTTTTGTAGCCAAAAGAAAATCAAACATTTGGCGACCAAAATATTTTGTGGCTAAAAACAAAAGTTGAAGAATAAATATGACTTTTGGCGACTAAAAATTTAGTAGCCAAAAATGTCATAGTTTAGGCGACTAAATTTTTAGTAGCAAAAAATGTTGAAATTTGGGCGACTAAATTTTTAGTAGGCAAAAGAAATAGTATTTGGCGACTAAAATTTTAGTAGCCAAAAAACATTGACTTTAGGCGACTAAAATTTTAGCAGCCAATACACTAATATTTGCTTTTGGTGACTAAAAAATTTAGTAGCTAAAAATTTTTTGGCCACTAAATAATTGGCTTTTGGCGACAAAAAAATTAGTCGGCAAAAATGTATTTATTTAATTAATTGTCAAACCTATTGGCGACTAAATATTTAGTCACCAAATGGATACATTTGGCGACTAAATTCGGTTTAGTCGGCAATTATATTTCCCGATTACTCTTTGGCTACTAATTTGCCGATCAAAAAATTTAGTCGCTAAAGATTATAGGCGACTAAAATATGACTTTTGGCGACTAAAAATTTAGTCGCCAAAAGTGAAAATCCTTGTAGTGTGTGAACTTGGTTATGAGACTGTTGTGATATTGTTTTATCAGGACTCAAATTAAATTTAGCTATAAGATTTGTAGTGCATGGTTATGAAATGAAATGGATTATGAAGTTTTGTGATATTTTATAGTAAATCAAAATAGTTGTAGTTATGAGAATTTTGTAGTGTTTTTGTTAGAAATTAATTTTATTTTGTTATGATTTAAATTGACAAAACTTACGAACTATAGTAGCTCAAATTTTAGATACATAAAAATGAACAAAAGAAAAGAAAAGAAAAGAAAAGAACAGAAAAGAGAAGAAAGAAAAAACAAGCTAAGACATTCAATTGAATTACTTAGCAGTATGCATGGTAGCCAATCATCAATCGTTTCAAATCTCGTTTGGCTGTTTGGAAGCGAAAATATCTTTCCCTTGGTGGCAGACTTGCTAAATGCATCTTTCGCTAATCTTCCTATCGACTATATGTTGCTCTTCAAGCTTCCTTTATCTATGTGTCATTATTTGGAAAAGATTCAAAGGAAATTTTGGTGGGGTATCAATGGTGAGAAAACACAAGCTCCACTTCACAAAATGGAGCATAGTTTCTAAAAGCAAGAAACTTGGCGGTTTGGGTATCCAATCCCTAAAGTTGAAGAATGCTACCCTCCTTGCAAAATGGTGGTGGAGGTTCGGTACTAGAAATCATGTTCTTTGGAGGCGAGTGTTGGTTGAAAAATATGGGTTGAAGCCTAATGCTTGGCTCCCATCATATCACCAAGGCTCAAATCCTTCCAGCCTATGGAAATCCATTGTCAACATCGGAAGCCGAAGTGATATGTTCAGCTTTGTTCTCATCAACATTGGAAGCCCTTACATTGTGTTTGATTTATGGATTTAGGAAGGGATTTGAAAAGGAAAAGAGAAAAGGTGTGTAAGACTATGTGAAATATAGATGTATTTTATTTGCATTTCACCTTATCTTTTCACTTTTTCTTTCCAAATCCCTCATAAAATCTATGAACCAAACACAACCTTAATGTTTGTTTTTCCCGTTTGTTCTCTCTTTCACTTTAGAAAGATATGTTTGTGGCCGAAATCTTCACTCTCTCTTCAAATGGTCATCTCACATTCCGTAGACAACTTTGTGATTAGGAATACAAAAATCTCCTTGAGCTTCTCCATTTGATTAGCATCCTTATTCCCAATCCCAATCGGGGTGACTCTATTCAATGAAGGATTGATAAACAGGGCATCTTATCAATAAAGTCCTTCTGCTCCCATTTTGAAGACTCTTTGGGTAGTAACTCAGATTCTTGCAAGCACCTTTGGAGAAGTGTAGGTCCACCAAAAGTTAAAGTCTTTTGTTGGCTTATGCTGAAAGGGAAAATTGCTACCAAGGATGTTCTGATCAATAGTAACATCCTTCTGGTCAACTCAAATGTTTGTTGTCCCTATTGTAACCATGAACCTAAATCATCAAGCCATCTTTTTCTTCACTGTCATCTATCCTTCATTGGTGGGGAACTTCTTGGATTTGTCGAGACTCTCTCACATTCCTCTCGCATTGGTGGTTTAACTCTAAGCTCAAAAGCCTCAAAAAAATCATTTGGGAAGCTCTCTTCCCATGTATCTACTGGAATCTCTGGCTTCCGAGGAACAATTTCATCTTCAACCAGCAGCAAACTCGTTGGGATGATTTGGTTGACATCATCAAGTTTCAATTAGCCTTTTGGGTCTAACTCAAATTTTGATGGACGACTTCTTGTTCCAGATTGAAACAATTCGTCACATCAAAGGCAAGAGGAAACCTTCTCTTTCGGTGTAGTTCTTGCCTTTTTTGGCTCCTTTTCTTTTATGTTAGTGCTTGGCTTTGTTTGGGTTTGTTTTCCATGTGCTAATACCTAGTTGGGATATGTTCCAAACCTAAGAGGCTGCTTTCTCCTTCTATCTTTTTGTTGATCTATTCTGCTTGTACTTCTTGTACTCTTAATTCATCAATAATACCTCATTTGGCAAGTGGCTTTTTTGGCCAAAAAGTCAAAAAGTAACTAAAAAAACCAAAAAACCAACAACACATCCCAAAAAGTCAAAGATTTTCTTTTCTCTCTATTTTTTCCACATCTTTTCGTAAAAAGCCAAAATGTCATTCCAAACATATTAGTTTTTTTTACATCACATTTTAGCCAAAAAATTATTAAAAAAACCTGTTCCCAAACGAGGAATTTTTTTCTTTACCAATCAAAAAGGAAATGTGTTGTCACTGCTGCTTAAACCCTACATTTGTTAGAGATTAGTTCGGTAATTTAATTATGACACTACAACATACAAGAGTTTTAGAGGCCAAGTTTTCTTTGTCTCTAAAAGTATAAGTTTTGTTGCAAATAACATTTAGAAACCAATTTCAGTTGTCGCGAGATCAGTCGCTAAAAGGTTGTTTTGAAAAATCAAAAAAAAAATTTTAGGCACAAAATTTTTAAAATGTGCTAATAAATGCACTTATAAGGACAAAATAATATGGTACCAAAAAGCTTTATTTTTTGAGACAACTTTTGGTCCCAAAAGATTAGTAATACATCACTAAATATCCAATTTTGTTGGTAAAAATAAAATAATAACACTTTTGGCGATAAAAATATTTTGTCCCTAAAAGATATTTTTATTCTTAAAATTTTGTCTCTAAAATCTTAATTTATTATAGTGTATATTAGTAGCAATATTTATGATCGTCAAATGAGTAAAATCTCATTAATGGTTTTAGATTTATTTGGATTCTCTTTTTCTCTCTCCCTTTTTCTCCTCAAACCATCATACAAACAACAAGAATTTTGTTGATTCGGAACAATTGTTTTAAATTTTTATTCATAATGTATTTGTGTGGTGGAGATTAAATTGGTATAGTGTGAAATTTAAGAATAAAAAAAATAACCACAAATTGATATTTTTTAATAAAAATGAGATAAAATTTATGAAGGGGTAATATTATTGTACAAACAATTACAAACATAAACATGAGGACAAAGACGAAGACGAAGACAAAGACAGGGACAGATCATTTCATTTATTTATTTGACAGCATAGATAGATTCCTTGTTATCTAATGGTTCCATGGTTTCACCTTCACATTTACACACACCTACGAGTGAAAGGAATTGAAGCACCGCAAAAAAAGAAAAAGAAAAAAGGACATTGACATGACATCTAAACAGAAAGAATAACGTTAATCCTTACATATAAGATTTGAGCAGTAAAAGAAATAAATCTTTATACACATTAAAAAACATACATAGCCTATTGGTGTGATGCTCCAGAACAAAAGCCAGCTTTTCTTCTAAAAAATTCCATTCCAAAGATGCATTTCATGCTCCCACTTAATTTTTTAGAGAATCCATGACTTTGATGCTGCACAACCATCAAGCACAATCATCAAGATTGTATTAGAATGAAGAATAACATAAAATGATATGTGTTCAAAGTTGAACTACACGATTTGCATGTGTGCATCCATGTATATATGAATGTGGGCTAAGGATCTTTTCTTTTTTAAATTTATTTATTCTTTTGTCTTAAAATACTCATAACTATATGAAAATATTAAATGTAATAATTTCAAAATACCATTTAATAGATTTAGATATTTTAGAATAGAGAGACAAAAAGTTTTGAAATAAGAGAATTCGAAACCATATAGTGACAACTATTTATGTATAAGTATTCGATATGCACTGATATAATCTAACCATTCCTATCACACTACTATTACTAGACTCTAACCTATTTTCACCCTTATTATGCCCACCATCACGCCTCTAGCACAGCTACTATCATTACCACCACTATTCCATAATTGTCATTGTCGCCGCAAATGCTACCGTTATTTTAATACCCCCACAACCTTCTATTTCCACTACCATCACTATGGTTGCCATAGCTGTAACGCCCTCAAATAAATAGCATTAAACCCATCAATAGAGACATACACTTATATACAAAAGATCCACATTCTTCAATTCATCAGAGTACTTCATTACAAAAGTATTACATGTTAACAACAAAAGCAAATGCCCTATGGGCTTACAGCTTTTCAAGTTAACACTTGGTTACAAAAGAGAGTACT